TCTCAGAGAAATGTAGTTTTGAAAACGCCCTAAGGCTTGCCTATATGCAGAATATTGGTGCCTGTGTTAATGCAAAAACAAACAGATTTTTTGAAATAGACTCCTTTAATATCTATAGGCATGATATCTAATGAGGTTGAGGCAGTTTGAAAGAACTTGTTTCAGAAAACGCTTAATACTGAACATGACCAGTTTAAAAATGAACTAGGCATAATGAGGTTGATTTATTAGACTAAATTAAATTATCAAACAGTATTGCGAGTAGAGATCCCTATAGGCATGATATCTAGGCATATTACTGGTTTTAATCGATTTGTAGGTATAGCAACATACAGAAATACTCGTTATAACTGAATCAGAATTAAGTCCTATAGGCATGACATCTATTATTGGACTGATTTAAGACACAATTGTTTGGATCCTATAAACATGGTTTCTAACATGACAAAATGCAGAACCTTATAAACAAGATTTCTACTTGATGCAAACAAACTTAAAAGTGAAATCTTACGGGCATGATTTCTATTAGGCAAAACAATCAGATTAAAGAGTAAAACTCTATGAGCATGTTTTCTATTGAGGTAAGCAATCAGACTTTAAAGGTAAGGTCGTAAGAGCAGGATTTCTACCTGTATTACCCCATAAAGTATGCATCTACCCATCCCTTTTATAAATACCCCAAATATCTGTTTATAAATTATTACAGACCAAAGAATGAATTACATAAGTAGAAAATATAAAATCAAGAAGCTATTCTATAGGGAGCCTTCAATTAGGCCCAGGTTTCCCAAAACCTCCAATGGTCTCATAAGCCTCAGTTCCATAAACAAAATCAGAGTCTAGGTGCATCAAAGTTCCCTAAGGATATCAAGGATCTCGGGCAATGCTTACACCTAGACTTAGTAACCAAAGAATTGAACAAGTGCAGTGTGGAAAGGCCAGCCTCAATACGCTAGAGTTCAGAGGGTTCTCAAAAGGATCCCAAGGCAATACACATACTAGAGGGGGCAGAACTTGTTGACTAAGAGTAAAGTGAAAGTGAAGGACACAAGTTGAAAAAGGTTTTAGTAAGACTGTACTTAACAAAAGTCCCTTTTTGAAAGTCATTCAGTAAAGCAACAGAGTTTGTTTGAAAAGAAGAGATTGGAGTAGTTAACAAAGTTCAAACACCTTAGGATAGGATCATACACAGCTAGTTCATAGAACCAAATGAATTCAGTAGTCACACACATGGTCAAGGGGTTTGGGACACATAGACCATTTGGCTGCAAACACATAACTCAACAAAGGTCTTAGGATTGGTTTAGACATGCTCAAAAACAGCTGACACTGACATAGTCACAGAACCAGTCATGAAGAACACAAACACATAGAGGGGTGATAGGGATTTGGGGATCTATAGGATATAGGATGGTAAGTAATAAGTAAGAGAAAATTGGTAACGCATGCTCAGAAACACACATAAGGGGAATGTACTAATCTAAGGGAAGGGGGAGACATAATAACATGCTGATAATGTAACTCCTAACTACAAATTTCACAACAAAACCACAAATAGAAGCAAACCAGAAACAAGAGAAACTGAAACATTAGGAGAAGCATGTTTTTGTTGGAACATCAAATTGAAACTAGGACATACTAGTGAAGAGGAGAGTAATCGGAATGAAAGAATAAGATAGCACAAATGGTTAGCCTTGGCTTGCAACCGACTAACAGTAGCAAATATCACAAGAGAGAACAGAGATTTTTTAAAGTAGGAGAGATAGTTTTTGAACCCAAGTGTTCGTGTGTGTTAATGAAAGACTTAGAGTATTTATAGTTGAAAACAAGTAGTAAAATAAGGTAAGAATCATAGTAGCATGGTAATTAAGGAACTCAGAATCAGTCAGCCAGAAATCAAGGCAAGCACTCCTTAAGTTAAGGGAATTAAATCAAACGGAAAAATTCAGTATCATATAAGGCAAGAAAAAATCAGTACATGACTAAATAAGGAAAGAATCAAGGTTCAACAAGCATAGAGTAGTCAATTAGGACTAGGTTCAGAAAACTCCAATTAAGGAATGAATCAGTAAAAACAAAGTACTACATCAAATAAGGTAGGGGATCAGTCAATTTAAATAGACGAGGTAGAATTTGAGGGTTTTAAAAGAAAACCTTTCAATCAAACCATCAAACAAGGTAATCAGAATCAAATCAAGAGAGGGTATGATTCTATATTTCAACATATAAATAGAGAAGAATAAACAGACGTAGCAAACAGGAAAGGTCAGACATATCGACAGAAAGAAGAAAGAGATGAACAATCAAGATGAATACAATCATACAGAGGTGATACAAGTAGGCTAAAGACTCAGTAAAAACCCCATTTGAAGCATGGTAACCACAGAACATAACGGGAATTGAGTAGTCATGCTAACACACAAAACCAAAACAAAGAAGGTCTAGAAAAAGATTAGGGATTTTGACAGAGACGAGTTGAAAAAGAAGTAAGAACATAGAATCGGTCAATATATGCAAGGAAAAAGGTTCAAACATAAAGAAAAGTCAGTTTAAACAAGTGTAGAAGAAACTCTGAGAAACCCTAATTTTAAAGAAAGTAAAAGCGGTTTAAAGTTGATGATTTTTCAAAAGAAATTTGAGAATAGTGTAAAACATAGAAAAAAACAGAATTAAATCGTTAAAAAGAGCACAGATCTGAGAGATACAAACAAAAGTTAGGGTTTCAAAGGAAACCCAAATAGAAACGGAAGAACCAGCTATAAACTTCAAAGATCGTAACATATATGGTGTGATTTTGCCCAAAATCACACCGGAGAAGCCGTTAACAACCAAATCAGAAACCCTAGATACAAATCGGCATGGCCCAGGGCCCTTGAAGGCCTCAGAGATGATGAGCAAGGCGATGGAGAGACCATTAGAGGCTTGGGGTTGAAAGATGGTCGCCGGAGATGACCGGAGAGGGAGGCGGCGATTGAAGGGGATTAGGGTTAGGTTGAGAGAAGAGAGGAGATGAGAGAGTTTTGAAGGCGGCGGAATCTCAGAAATGAGATAGGGTTAGGGGGTTGTATGAATTAAAAAAGGTAAGAAGTGATGTGGGCCGTTGATTTGGGAGATCAACGACCAGGATTTAATCGGGTAAATAGGTTCCAGGTTTGGGTAGGAGTTTATAGGGGCCTAGATCGGGTATTTTAATATGAAATTGGGCTGGGGACTAGGTCCAATTTGGCTAAAATTGAAAGCCAAATCTGGCTATAAATTAAATAGCCAATTTTCCTATTTTAATTTATAATAAATAATAAATCTGAAAATAATTTTCTATACCAAAAATGATTTAAAATATGTAATTATCATTTTAAATATATAGGGACCAATTTTACACATATAAAATATAATTATACATTAAAGGGCTAATATTGCAATTATATGCAATTTACCTTAAAAAATACTAAATGTAATTATAAAAATACATGAAAAATATATTAGCCATATTTTGGCATAAGTATAGAAATTTAATGAATAAATCATCATAACAATAATTTTGGGAATAATTATTGGAGATTTTATGAATAAAAAGGGAGAAAATAAATCAATTTAGATCCTTAAAATTATGGGAAAAATTAAAAAAACCATGTGCATGCTTATATATACATATATATGCTATTTTGAAGGTATTTATGCATATTTAATATATATATGAAAAAATTGGGTATCAACAGGCTCAACATGCTATGGAATGAGCTTAGAGCAAAGTTAGTGACTTGAAAAACCCAGAATGGGAGTCGTAGCGAGAAAATTAGCAAGTTTAGGGAAGTTTGTATTTTGAATGTTCAACCAAAAATGAGAAAATTGGTTTCGTATGTGGATTCACATTCATGATTAGTCGATTAGTACAATTTAAGAAAAATGCATAAGTACCTTCTTGAGAGGCCGAAGTTCCAACTACACACCTTATTTTTGCGAAGGTCCTATCATCTCCTAAACTTTTTTAAAACGGAATAAGTATCACCCTGAAATTAGATAACCAGATTCTTGGCAGGCAGTAAGATACACGCACTACCACATGTCTATTTCGTAATTTTTGAACTTTTTGCTCTTTCTTTTCCTTTTTTTTTTTCTTTCTTATTCTATTACACTTTTTTCTTTTTATTTTTCCTTTTCATTCTTTCTTCATATTCAAATTTTCCAACCGTTCATAAAAATTCATTCTTTGATCCAGTCCTTGTTTATTTAGAGTTTGTGTATGTGTGTCTGTTTAAAAAAAACTCCATTTTTATCGGCGTGGGAGTTTATTGTTATCGATTGTGAGTTCCGATTTTGATTTTATTTTTTTGGTGACTTTTATGTTTCGATGGAAAGCTGAAGAGATAAGATCTGGGTTTGTATAATAATGATTGTGCTGAGGTGGTGAAGATTAACTGTGTGAAGAATAAAAAAAAGGTGGGGGGAAGATGAAGGCGGTGGTTAGTGGTTACGATGTCGAGGTGGTGGTGGGAGTGAGAGGAAGAAGATTAGAAAAAAAATAAAAGAAATAAAAAATAGTTTGGCGGAGAAGGTCATCGACGTATGGCCTTCGCCGCAAAAGAAGAAAACAAAAAACGAATAGAGTGACTTTTTTTAATTGTAGTAGAAATTACAAAAAAAAAAAAAAAAATCATTTTTTTGCTTCTCACTCTCCCAAACAGAGTGGAACACAGTCTCTATGCCACCTCAGTATTTAGGGGTTAATAATTTTACTATTAAATAGTTTAGGGGATGATATGACCCCTGCAAAGATAAGGTGTGTAGTTGAAACTTCGGCGGCTTTAGTTCACGGATACTTATGAATTTTCCCTACAATTTAACCTATAAATTATCCTCTCTTCTTTCGGGTTACAGACTAATATTTTATAATAAAAAATTTAAAAGTAATTTTTTCTACTTTAAAACTGTGCATGTGAGTTTTTATAAGTAACCTAATTTTGTAAATAATATTAGGGTATAATATTTAAAGTCTTTTCTGGTTATAGCAAAATCTAATATTCCCATATATAGTCTTTGCACAAGTTGCCATTACAATAGCGCAAGCAAAAAGAAGATATACTTCATTTGTTATACAATAAAAACAAGAAGGAAATAAATTTAGAAGTTGGGGTCAATGAGTTCTCCATTCAAGTACTCTCTGTAAGCAGCAACAGGCCAACTGAAGCCTCTCCAGATGAGCTTATTAGCCAAAGGAACATCAATGATGATTTCTTTCATAGTTGGCTTCTTGTCATCTCTTACAGCAATCAAGTAACTCCTTCCAACCCACCCAATCCAACCAGCAATGTACAAGAAGAGTATCCCTGGTGTTATGAACTCTCCCCAGTGCCTTTGGTCTCCACTCACTATCAAATGTGGCAATCCATCTGATCCACACAACAATCCTTGCTTCCCATAGTTGTCAAACCTGCACTTCCAATAAAATTTAATATTTTTAAACCATCACTGTAATTTAACATCTTAAAGCATGTTACTTACCGATTATACAGGTTACAATCAATACTTATTACCTATAACTAAACTACTGTTGGAGTAATCCTGATTGTGCAAGTATTTCTTATGCAGTCACTTCAATGGACTTAAACTAATAGTATGGCTCAAATTTAAGCCCTTAAACAAATACTNATGGATATACTGACCTTTTACAATGGTCTAAGGCTGGCACTCAGTCACAATTTAGTTCCACTTATTGTGGAAACTGATTCACAGGTATTGATTCAACTATTATCGTCTAATAATCTAGCTTTCTCACATATATTAATGGATTGCAGGTAACTAATGGAGAAGCTGGGCAGCCCACAGGTTTGCCACATCTTTAGAGAAGCTAATGCTGCAGAACATAAACTGGCCTGCTATGCGAAAGACAGAAATCAAGCCATGGGAAAAACGTTTTGGTTTTTGTATACCCACCCCCTTTATCCTTAATGAACTAAAGGAAGACCTCTATGGAAGTGGGACTATACGTTCCGTTACCATCATGTAATAACTTCCGTTTGTGTTATTTAATAAAAGCTTCTTTCATTAGCAAAAAAAAAAAAAAAAAAGGTGTCTATCCTTCATTTACGTGGCATCGATTCCTATTTCAATACATATACTTCAAGATGAGAGAAAAATTGTATGGTTTATCAGTTGTTTTGCCGATCCTACACAAAATAAGATAAATAATTATTTATTTTTGTAATTAATTAAGGTCCTTCTAAAACTCAAGCTATTATCCTTGTATGGTTTGGGAATGTTTTCCTTAGTAAAGTCAACATATAATTTTGACCACTCAGCTCTAATTAAATAATAATCTGCGTTCGAGTTTACGCTACAAGAGTGCTAGCTAGAACATGACCTGGTAGTACTTAATAGGTATATTAAATGATTACCAAAAATAATAGAGAACTAGTTTCAAAATTTGAGTTAATTATAGCGAGATAATAACTCAATGAGGTCTAGGATAACAAAAAAAATGACATTAGTAAATGAATATTTACAGTTTGTACAATTTAACATGATATAGCTTTATAATTGTCTATGAACTGTTATTTAAAATTATCTTTTAGGTAATTTCATAGTATAAGAATATTTCTTACGCTGTTGGAAATTTTGCATGATCATATACAATTTCAGGACAACTTAGATAGCAAAAAATATAAGACATCTAAGGAAAACAAAAATCTCCCTATGTTTCAGTTCATGTGAATTCATTTCCTTTTTGTTTCGATCTAAAAAGAAGGACTCATTTCATAATTTGGAAACAATTTAGCATAAACTTGCAATTCTACCCTTAATGAGAAAATTTTACAACCACACAAATATTTTGGACCCCTTTTTTTACTTGTTTAGGACCACAAATTTCAAAAGTTATCATTTTTCTTAGCTCCGTACCGGCTCAAACAGGTTCATGTGAATCGGAACGGAGGGAGCACATTACTAAGGGAAAAAGGGAGAACAAAAGAATACAAACCTGCGTTTGGTTTTCTCAACGGTGGCTTGGATAGCAAGGGCAGGAGCACTGTCAGGTGCATACAACTTCAATGAACTCTCAAGCTTCTTGATCTGTTGTTTCTCACGCTTAGCAAATTGCTTAGACTCCTTGCATGGGGTGAGCCCAGAGATATCAGCAGAAGCTGGTAGCACTGGAACTGACAACAGAACTGAAGACAAAGCAAGTGCAGCAGAAAATGCCTTTAAATTACAAGATGATTGCTCATCACATGATGAAGAAGAAGAGCAAACAATGGTCGCAAATCTTGGTTTCTTTGTAAACTGAGAGTTAAGTGTAGAAATGGGCTTTGACAGATTTGTGGGAATTGTGAGAGACATTTTTTTTTCGCCCTTTTCTTGAAACTAGTCTGTTCTTGAAGATGGCAGAAGAACAGAGTACAGAGAATGTGGAGCGAGTGTTTTCAGATTTTGTTGGGACGAATGAATGGTGGGTAGAAGATTAAGAGGATAAGGTGTGGGGCAGGGGGAAGATGGGAAGCTGAGTTGGAGACTTGTGATTTGGCATTTGAATTTGATTTGTGAGTTTTCAGGATTCTGATCTGTACTTTTGTCTATCTGAATGTGGCGAGCACATACAATGGAATAACAGATACACACGCCCTTTTTCCTGCTGCTTCCACACGTACTAAGTATTTTTATATGGTATATATATCTTTCATACACAAATTTATTACTAATCATGATTAATTAATATATATTATAATATTACCTCAATGTATCAGTTAGCTGCATATTAAGCTAATGTAGTTTGATATAAACATTAAAATTTGAATAAGCTAATATGATGTAGTGTAAATGTCATGTTCAATTTGTTAATCTATGAGACTATCTATGTGGTTTTTTTGGTCTCGTAAGGAAAATAATCCTGGCATAAGCAAATTTTGCAATGTTTAGTTTGCAACATAAAATTCTGTATCCATAATGTACTTTTTTTTATTTAGGATAATACAATTTTGATTTTCCGTATAAATTCAACATAACCTTACATAGTTTTTAATTTTTGATGTTAAACTCTGCATTATTAACACCGCATAACTTATGCAGAAATACATGTATAAAATAACGCGAGATAAAATATGAAAAGTGATATGTATATTAACAAACAATAGCCGGATAAGAGTATCTAAAGACAAAAATGTCCAAAAGGAGGCAAAAATTGCCATCCACACTAGAACAATTCTTATACGATAATCCTACCTATCTAGTTCGGTAGCACAGCCACATTTACCGATGGGTTCCCTTTAGTGAATCTGTAATGACCCGGTCGGTCATTTTATACATTTAAGTCTCGTTTCCTTATTTGATACTTTCTATATGCCTCTTTATTATTTTGTGACTTTACGGGGATGAATGGTTTGGTTTTGGGAAAGTTTTGGAGTGAATTGAAATACTTAGTTCCATAGTTGGAAGCTTAAGTTATAAGAATTGACCAAATTTTGACTTTTATGTAAACGATCTCGGGTCAGTGTTTTGATGGTATCAATAGGGTCGTATGGTAATTTTGGACTTAGACATATATCCGAATTTGGATTTGAAGGTTCCTAAGTTGATTTGGCTCTAATTGGCAAAAGTTGGAAAGCTGAAGGTTTGGAAGGTTCATATGTTTGACCGGGAGTTGACTTTGATGATATCGGGTTCATATTATTGTCCCGGGACTTGAAATAGGCTTGTCATGTTATTTCGGATTTGGGTGCAAAATTTAAGGTTATTCCAAGTTGGTTAGATATGGTTCGGCATGAGTTTGGAAATTGGGAGTTTGATTAGTTCATTAAGCTTGAATTGAAGTGCAATTTGTGGTTTGATGTTATTTTGTATGATTTGAGTCCTCGAGTAGGTCCGTTTTATGTTTTGGGACTGGTTGGTGTAATTGGAGGGGGCCTCGAAAGGCTTGGGTGTGTTTCAGATGGATTCAGGATCATTTTGGAGCTAGTTGGCAGTTCTGATTTGGTGTTTTCACACATGCAAGGTTTGGTACGTAAGTGCGAGTCCGCAGGTGCGGACTGGTGAGCGTAGATGCAAAGGATGGCTGGGACAAGAGAGGTTCATAAAATCAGAGCTTAGTGCGCATCTGCGAGAACGCACATGCGGAGCGCTGGGCGCAGAAGCGGAGCATGGTTGCTTGGGAAGTTCCGTAAATGCGGATATTTGTTGTACCTGCGTGATCGCAGAAGCGAGGTTCATGAGATCTGTAGGTGCGAGGTGACATAACTTAAGTGAAGCTCGTAGAAGCTAGACGTGGGTCACAAATGCGACCTCGTAAAAGCAGAAGTTTGGACCGACTGATGCGAGATCACTGGGCAGGATATATTTTGATCGAGGGTTTGTCATCATTTATCATATTTGGGGTGATGCACGTACGGGGTAACGAGCGAATATGCATACATCGTGGTTATTCATGATTCAGATAGACTTTAGGCTTTTTTATACCTTGTTTTGCTATCATGCTTATGTGTTACAGTGTTTTCTCTACTTATATTACTACTTGAGCTATTATTCATGCTAGGAATCATGTTTAGGCTATAGGCTTACCCGTTTCAGACATGATAGAGTTATTTTGCTATGTTGAGTTGTTTGCCTCAATCGTAGTCATACTTTTTAGTCATGGTATTATATCCGCATGTTATATTATCATCTCTGTATACTTCTTACATGTTATCTCGTGTCCTTATTTGTGCGACACGAGTTTGCGTGGATTTGTAGCACGCTGGTATAATTGTGGAGTATATTGATTTATGATGTTGTCTGATGTTGGCATAATGTGATTTGAGCGGATTAATGACTGAACTGGGGCCATAAAATCGTGTTAATATTGATATTGAGGTGACGCTTACGCCAAGCCCCCTATTGGGCTGAGTGGTATTGATACTGAGATGGCGCGTTCACTAGGCCATTTGGGCTAAGTTATAATGATCTTTGACTTTGGATTGGGATAGGATCTGCCCTTCCAGAGTAAGGTGATAACCCATGTTACTTTGGGCCCAATGAATACATGCACTTGGTATGTTCTTAGTGAGGGGCTTTATGCTAGGCACCTGTACAGTGCTGAGATTGTGCTTACTTGATGATTTAATTGTAAATTTGTTGATTTTGGCACTGTTATTTGTCATGCAGGCATAGATATGTATCTTCCTCGTGGTAATTGATACTCTATATCTTAAAATTGATGCTTTAACTGATTTGTTTGGAAAGCAGTATTAGGTGCCGTCACAACTTTAGTGGAATTTGGGGTCGTGATAGAATCCTCAGCTAGAAAATTGTACTATACACATAGACAAAAAATCTTTTTTTTGTGTGTATAAAAATTGTTGAATTCTCTATGCATAAAGTAGTTTTTTTAGAATACCCTTGATTAAATATTTGCCTCTACAGTTAGCCAAATGAGCATCCAATATGTGTCCGTCTACTGTTCTTGGAGGAGGGGGAGTTGAGGCAGGATCAGAGGAGGCCACNTCTCATGCTTGGAAAACAAAACAAAATTAAATAGAAAAAGATACTTAATAAAGAAAGCAGTTTAGCAGAAAATAGCGGAATATATATATAAAGTTGTAAACACTAAATGTTTCATTCCAATCTATTGAGAAGTCAAATGATAAGAATCTAATTTGCTAATGACCAACAGGTCAGGGACAGGGAAAAGGCGGCATTACTAGAGTTAAATTCCACAGAATTTTGTCACTAAACATGTTCTATTTTACCGATCACCCTGAGAACTAATAGAGTTAGCAATCTTTATCCAGAACTTGTTCAAAGAGGATTACTAATAGTTAAGCTCTGTGACTTTGAGACCATGCTTAACATACTTGGAGTTTCATAGCCAACAGCACCTGTATTGTTTGAGCTCTCCCCTAGTAGTATTAGCTGTGTAGTTGTATCACCCCTAGTTGTGGATCTCTGCCAAAAATGTGAGCTTAAACCCGAGAGCATATAAGCTCGTCCCATTTGCTCGTAGAGTTCCTCGCTTGCCATCCTCTCTGTGATTTCAGTCAGTTCAGTGTCAAGCCTGTTACACAGGCCATCACCTGCTTGGGCAGATGCTGAAGACAAAAGGCAAGACCTTCTGTTATTTAGCAGAGCCTGTGCGCTGTCAAGATTTCCCCTCTCTGCCATCTCTTGTGCCTCTGCTATCGTTTCCGCTACTGCTAGGCGGTTTATCTGCCTATCGACCTCCAGGCTTACTACTACATCTATAGGAGACAGCACTTGAGGTCGACGTATCTTAACTGTCTCACCCTCCACTCTAACCATTTCGTTGGACACAGTATTTTTGTAAGAACAAACAATTTGCAAGAGTGATGTTTCCACCCTGTCCTCAACTTGAGCACTTTTAACTGAGGGAATAGACACGTATACGAGAAACTCTTTCTCCTCATCTGCATACAAGTCCCCGATGTTAATTACGCCTTGCTGTCCTTGTTCGGAAATTTCACTTGCATATCTTCCTGAAGGAATGGACACAATCTTCACTCCAGGTGATGCTGCTGTGCAGCTAAGTTGAAGCTCCTGGACCACAACACTGAGGAGACCACCAATACACATTGCAAATGCATCTTGAACAGTAACAACCGATTCAATGAATGAAAATGTGCCCCCTGATGCATCGGATATAGCATGCATAGCAGAAGAATCGTGGTCTGGACCAAACCCGAACGTATGAACAGGGAAAGTTGACAAATCCTCTGCCTCTTGCACTTCGCTATTGCAAGCACGAATGGAAGAAGGCAATAGACTCAAATAATCAGGGATCAATGTTGGATTTGAGGATCTATGGTTTCTATTGCTATTGCGTCGATTCGCGTTATCACTGTTATAGGTGTCTCTCCCATCAGACAAGAGAATGATACTCGCAACTGGATTCTTTTCACGCCTTTCTTCAAGAACACAAGCCCCAATCTTGAGTCCTTCCACAATATTTGTCCCACCATTTGCTGAAATACCATTGATAGCTAGTGCAGCTTCTTGACGCCCTTGTTCAGTCATCCTACGCAAGGGAAAGTTTCTTTGAGCTCTTGATGAGAAAGTAACAATAGCTAGCCGGTCGGAAGGCCCCAAGTTATCTATCACAAAGCACACTGCTTGCTTCAAGAGAGTCAACTTTGATCCATTCATGCTCCCACTAACATCTAGCACCGCAACCAGGTCAATCGGCGCACGCTCTAGGTCCTGAGCACCATCTAAGAGTGGTGGTGCCCTTAATCCAACAAGAACTGCAAATCTTGGCACATCTTCAGCAGCACCAACTGCAGGAAATTCTGCAAAAGATTTCATGAGGATATTCCCCGAGTGAAGTGCGGAAGGAGAGGAGGTATGATCCACGATGATGTTGAGAAGGGGCTCATCATCCGAGAATGGAATGTGCTGGGGACGAGGTGGAGATATTGTTGGTAGGGGACGAGAGAAGTTAACAGGATCTTCAAGTGATACATGGTAAGGAGACACGCGAGATCCTCCAGCATTGATACCGTTTACATCAGTACTGAAGGTGGGAAATTGGAGAGGGATTTCCTTCCATTTGCATCTGCAGATAGGGCAAAGGCGGTTTCCATGCTTAACACTATTGCCAATGCAGCTGAAGTGGAAAGCATGGCTGCATTCAGCAGTGAAGATGGCCTGACCATTCCCAGCTTTCATACTCCCAAGGCAAATGGCACATGTTCTCTGTAACAACAATTAAATAGACAAAGCAGAATATTAATATCATTACAGTTTTGCATTTAATGTTTGAAGAAATAGTCCATTGTCACATTCCATGTTCATAGTTGAAGATGCATATGTTAACCACTCAACCAAGTAATAGACAGCAACAGTTTAGTCTACTTCAAAAATGGCACTGGGTTATTACTATACTGCAAGTTGTTCTCATAAACACAAAGATATGAATCTATGAAATGTTTTACATGGGAGCAAGGGCCAAGAATAAAAGGAAAATTTAAAAAGTAGTGTCTGATAAAAGAACTAAACAAGCAGCTTCAGACAAAGGTACAAAAATTTTCATGATGTCTAGTACTTTATCTGCAACTTTTGCCACCATGAATCAAGGTTAATCAGTAACTTCTTCATATCAAAGATGTAAGACAACCTTAGGTAAAAAAAAAAAAGAAAAAAAAAAAGAAAAAAGAACAGCCTGGTGCACTAAGCTCCCGCTACGTGCGGGGTCCGGGGAAGGGTCGGACTACAAGAATTTATTATACGCAGCCTTACCCTGCATTTCTGCAAGAGGTCGTTTCCACAACTTGAACCCGTGACCTCCTGGTCACATGGCAGCAACTTTACCAGCTACTCCAAGGCTCCCCTTCTAAGACAACCTCAGGTGTTTGGGGAATAGATATGATATAATATGATATTCAATTATTCACAGGCAATTACCCAATACACAGATCAGTTTAGGTCATATAGTTGACACGAGATTGTAAATACGGTCTGTCGGAACAGGATATACCATGTGTCATTATTTGACTACATTTTGAGAAACTTAATAAAACAATATTAACAATTTAAGTGAAGAGAATGTAACAATAAAATATAGATGATGACATGATGTGAAATGTCTAACAAGTACTAATGATAAGAGGCTTCATATGTTTATGTTTTTAGCAAGAAAACTATCTCAAATTCTAGTCTAGAACATATGTTTTTATTCTTGAAAAGAATAATCAAACTGCTGGTGTATCGTGGCCAGTTCGCGATTAGCTAAGGGACCAGTGATTATAGGTTGGTGATCATGGACATGCATACTCTAAAAAAATGTAGAAGTTCAAATCTTTGAGATCAGGTCCTAATCTCATTCTTTAACTAAGAGCTCGTTTACCATGTCCAGCTTCTTTTAAAATCTATTTTACGACAATGATGTCCGCACATCCACCAGATGTTTTCTGCCTCCCACTGCCACAAATATTAGGTAACTCTACCCTTCGTTAGGTAAATAGGAAGCAGCTTAATAAAACCAACTCATTTTTGCTATGGTTAAGTACTAAAAGCTAACGCATGTGCAGAAACGAAATACTAGTATAAGTAGTAAAGTCAAGCTGTTGTTTAAAAAAAAAAAAACTGTTGTTATGTCTTAAACAATGGCAAACGCAATCCAATTTTCGAAATGGTTCAAGTCCAACTCCATCCTTACAAAAGACACACAGATAGCTCTGGCATAAGAAATTCTCAAAGGATCTTAACCAAGAATAGACATTACCCATTCGTCTAAACACAAAGGGAAAAGCAACAGTTAACCGGTACAGAGTTATCAGGTAGAATATTCGTAGTACACAAATCGGTCAGTAGTATACTGGTACAACAACAATATCCAATGTAATCCTACCGGTCGGGTCGGGCGGTCACGATACTAATGTTATCTAGAAAAGTTCTTCACGCTCGTGTCAATATTTGGTAATAAGGGAATGTGTCTCACATGACACATGGAAAGGACAATACCATTTCATCATACCATGCTAAGATTGTACCTTATGCATGAGTTGTATTCGAACCACATTTGTTTTATTTTTTTCGCTAGAAAAGTTTTCGGAGTAACAAAAGATGTTTTTTACTGATTACAAAAGGTCAATTTAAAACGTCTTTATGGAAAAGTCCAAGAAAGGTCAACTTTTAATTTTCACTTCAAATGACCTTTTTACCCTTCGGACTTTGATGGACGTTAAAACCAGGGAGGAGGACGATTTTGTCATTACGTCCCGTCTCCGTCAGCATAATCCTGGCTTTAGTATCTCGTAAAGCTGGATTTCATTAGTTCATTTATTACCGAAATCAATGCCCAAAAAAACAAATGTGACAAAGTTTAATCCCAAAATTGTCCTCACTTATATGTCCAAACTATAACACTAGCCAAAAATAACTTAAGGGTATTTTAGTAAAAGAAAAAGTTATGAATTTCAGTTAGAGAAAAAGCACAGAATGTTGCTGGTCTTGCGCCAGCTTGCCACTCCCGGTGATGACGCATTTTAGCGGCAAATTAGGGGCTGCCGGGAAGTAAGAAAAAGATGAAAACTTTCCGGAAAGAAAAAAGAGGGAAGAAAGTGGAAAACAGCAAAAAAAAAAAAAAAAGACAGGAGAAATGAAAAATACGGACCTTTGATGATCGTGTGGTGGTGGTGAAGCTCCTGGAGAAGGAGGAAGACGGCGGAATTGCGGGTGATTTGGAATGGGAGTTATCAACAGAGGGCACAGGCTTAGGCTGCTGCTTCAATGATGATAGCGCCTTTTTCAGTTTGCGCCACGCCTCTGCCATTCTTCTTCTTCTTCAAGCCTTCTTCACACACACACAGAGGGAGAGAGATGAGAAGCAAAGAGGAAAGAATTAAGTGTATGAGTTTTGTGTGAAATTGAATGTTGATGGTTTCTGCATATATATACGGAGAAATGGAGGTTGGGTGATCAGAGGGTAGGAGGGGGATGAAGAAAGAGATATGAACGCAGTAATTTTATAGAAGAGTTTAAATTTAATGTTAGTATATTAATTGTGCAGAGATTATATAAACTATAAAGATTATATGTTAAGATGGTATTTGGTTTAAAATTTTGAAGGACTTTTTAAAAAACATTGAAATGTGGTATTTGGTTCACATTTTAAAAATAGCACGATCAATGCGCGTAAATAAACATGACTCTGAAAAGGATTTAAGTTATATAT